TATATTTATACTTTTAGATATTTAAGGTATATTCATATTTTTAGCTCACCTGAGCCGAAGGCTCAAGTGAGCTTTTCTGATCAAAATTTGTCCGTCGTCTGTCATTGTTGTCGTTGGCGTTGTCGTTGTCGTCGTCGTCGTAAACTTTTCACATTTTTATCTTCTTCTCAAGAACCACTGGGCCAATTTCAACCAAACTTGGCACAAAGTATCCTTGGGTGAAGGGAACTCAAGTTTGTTCAAATGAAGGGCCACGCCCTTTTCCAAGGGGAGATAATCATGAATTTGTTAAAAATTAATGGCATTTTTAAAAAATCTTCTCCAGAACCGCTGGGCCAGGAAAGATGAAACTCATGTGGAATCATCCTCAGGTAGTGTAGATTCAAGTTTGTTCAAATCATGACCCCCGGGGCAAGGGTGGGGCCAAAATGGCCAACCCAAGTTTTACATAGGAATATATAGGAAAAATCTTTAAAATTCTTCTTCTCCAGAACCACTGAGCCAGGAAAGATGAAACTCATGTGGAATCATCCTCAGGTAGTGTAGATTCAAGTTTGTTCAAATCATGACCCCCGGGGCAAGGGTGGGGCCAAAATGGCCGACCCAAGTTTTACAAAGGAATATATAGGGAAAATCTTTAAAAATCTTATTCTCCAGAACCACTGGGCCAGGAAAGATGAAACTCATGTGGAATCATCCTCAGATAGTGTAGATTCAAGTTTGTTCAAATCATGACCCCCGGCCCTGGGGATAGGGTGGGGCCAAAATGGCCGACCCAAGTTTTACATAGGGATATATAGGGAAACCTTTTAAAATCTACTTCAAAGCTATGATTAGTGATATTTATATGGAATCATAGGTAGTGTAGATTCTAGTTTGTTCAAATGATGAACGCCTGGAAGGGGGGGGGGGGGTAGTAAATTCAAGCCCGATGTGCTCAGGTGAGCGCTGTGGCCTCTGGGCCTCTTGTTATATGTTTAATGTACATTAGCACTTTGTACTATTTTGTAAATTAATCAGAGCAATGGGTTGAAAAACATTAATTTTACGTCAGACTTTGTAAAAGAAAACATGAGAAGGGGTTATATCAATTGAGGCAACAAAAAATACATTTTTTTCCAAACAAATTTATTGAATAAAGAATTGAATTCTATAAAATGCGCTCTTTCAAGGTTTACGTCAGAAGTGATGGTTAAATGCACATATATGAATAGAGGAAACGCTTACGATAAAAGTAGGTGTTATGCGTGAATGCTGTCGTCTACCTATTCCCACTTTTTAAAAATCTCAATTCCACCTTTCCCCATTTGCAAATAACAATAAATGTTTTTGTAATAATTTAATTACAGTAATTATGTCCCATCTTGGATTTACCTGTAGTTCGTACATTTGAAGACAGAAAATAGTTTTAGAAAAAAAATGATTTATTTTAATCAAATATATGTATTACATATGTAAAAAAAAATGCATGATATATTTAATTGTTTGAAAGTAAAGGGTTAAAAACCCCTCTTATATTTTGAATTTAAAACGTACAAGAGGCCCATAAGCCACATCGCTCACCTGAGCACTAAGGGTAGGAAAAAGTAGAAAATGTTTTTTTTATTGTAAAGTTTAAATCCAAAAGTAGTCCCATGACCAATCATGGATTTGCTATTTTTTAGAAAATGATTTTTAAAGAATTTTCCTATATATAACTTTGAAAACTTTGGTCGGCCATTTTGGCCCCGCCCTATCCCCGGGGGTCATGATTTGAACAAACTTGAATCTACACTACCTGAGCATGCTTCCATATATATGTGATGAATTATGGCTTTGTCATTCTTGAGAAGAAGATTTTCAAAGAATTTTCCTATAATTTCTATGTAAAACTTTGGTCGGCCATTTTGGCCCGACCCTATCCCCGGGGGTCATGATTTGAACAAACATGAATCTACACTACCTGAGCATGCTTCCATATATATATGATGAATTATGGCTTTGTCATTCTTGAGAAGAAGATTTTTAAAGAAATTTCCTATATATTTCTAAGTAAAACTTTGGTCGGCCATTTAGGCCCCGCCCTAGCCCCGGGGGCCATGATTTGAACAAACTTGAATCTACACTACCTGAGCATGCTTCCATATAAATATGATGAATTATGGCTTTGTCATTCTTGAGAAGAAGAATTTTAAAGAATTTTCCTATATATTTCTATGTAAAACTTTGGTCGGCCATTTTGGCCCCGCCCTAGCCCCAGGGGTCATGATTTGAACAAACTTGAATCTACACTACCTGAGCATGCTTCCATATAAATATGATGAATTATGGCTTTGTCATTCTTGAGAAGATTTTTAAAGAATGTTCCTATATATTTCTATGTAAAACTTTGGTCGGCCATTTTGGCCCAGCCCTACCCCCGGGGGTCATGATTTGAACAAACTTGAATCTACACTACCTGAGCATGCTTCCATATAAATATGATGAATTATGGCTTTGTCATTCTTGAGAAGAAGATTTTTTAAAAATTTTCCTGTATATTTCTATGTAAAACTTTGGTCGGCCATTTTGGCCCCGCCCTTCCCCCGGGGGTCATGATTTGAACAAACTTGAATCTACACTACCTGAGCATGCTTCCATATAAATATGATGAATTATGGCTTTGTCATTCTTGAGAAGAAGATTTTAAAAATTTTCCTGTATATTTCTATGTAAAACTTTGGTCGGCCATTTTGGCCCCGCCCTTCCCCCGGGGGTCATGATTTGAACAAACTTGAATCTACACTACCTGAGCATGCTTCCATATAAATATGATGAATTATGGCTTTGTCATTCTTGAGAAGAAGATTTTTAAAGAATTTTCCTATATATTTCTATGTAAAACTTTAGTCGGCCATTTTGGCCCCGCCCTAAACCCCGGGGGTCATGATTTGAACAAACTTGAATCTACACTACCTGAGCATGCTTCCATATATATATGATGAATTATGGCTTTGTCATTCTTGAGAAGAAGATTTTTAAAGAATTTTCCTGTATATTTCTATGTAAAACTTTGGTCGGCCATTTTGGCCCCGCCCTACCCCCGGGGGTCATGATTTGAACAAACTTGAATCTACACTACCTGAGCATGCTTCCATATAAATATGATGAATTATGGCTTTGTCATTCTTGAGAAGAGGATTTTTAAAGAATTTTCCTATATATTTCTATGTAAAACTTTGGTCGGCCATTTTGGCCCCGCCCTACCCCCGGGGGTCATGATTTGAACAAACTTGAATCTACACTACCTGAGGATGTTTCTCCATAAGTTTCATCTTTCCTGGCACAGTGGTTCTTGAGAGGAAGATTTTTAAAATATGCCACCAAATTTTCATTTATTCCCAATTATCTCCCCTTGAATGAGGGTGTGGCCCTTCATTTGAACAAACTTGAATCCCTTTTACCCAAGGATACTTTGTGGCAAGTTTGGTTGAAATTGGCCCAGCGGTTCTTGAGAAGAAGTCGAAAATGTGAAAAGTTTACAGACAGACAGACGGACGGACGGACGGACAGACGGACAGACAGACGGACGCCGGACAAAATGTGATCAGAAAAGCTCACTTGAGCTTTCAGCTCAGGTGAGCTAAAAATGAAAAGATTTATGTAAAAATGCATTAAAATAGCTGAATTTTAGAAAATACAATAAATGAATAAACGGGAAAAATCATTTATCAGAAATTCAATGAAAATTTTGAATACTCCCTTCAAATATTAGTTAAAAGTCTGATTAAGAATTTTAAAAAGCCAATTTTCCTTTCAGTTGTTCATTAATCACTGTTTATACAGCAGTTATATGTTTATATAGTTATTTATTTGTTTACTTAAAAATTCCACCTATTCCAGCATAAAATGTTACCTTTTCCTATCCTGATTTTCAGAAAGTGGGAATAGGTAGCATGAACCGCGTGAATGTGTTCTTTTGTGACTTATTCTGGGCCAGTCACCTAGTTTTCCTCTTATTGCTGAACTCAGATTCCTATAACATTCGATAAACAATCTCGAGTTATATTGTTTTTTTCCTAATTTTATTCATGAAACTTAGCATAATTTTTTGTTACATGAGTTAGGAATCTAACAGCTCCGTATATCTGATTCCAAATGGCAATGTTTTTAACAGCAAGACATACATATACTGAAAAAATATAGAACAAAGAAAAAGGACTTTTAAAAGGGAATTAAAAAAAATAAAACAGGTATTGAGTAAATGATAATGCGTAGGCGGAATATACATAAAAAAAAGTTAATTTGGGTGAAAAATTAAATTTCAATAAATATTATTTAAAAGTCAATTAGGATTACACCTCCCTCTCTGAGTGTGCCTCAGTTGGGATTAAGGCTGTGTGAAAATTGGAAAATGTGGAATTGCAAGGTATTAATATAAGAAAATTTTTATAACAATTTACTGGATTGTCAAGAAAATTTATTTTTTTTTTAGATATTTAAATTGACTCCAAAAGGTAATATTTTAAAGGTGTACATTTTCATTAAAAATAAATGATAAATAATTTGAAGGCAAGAGAAAACAAGAAAAGGAACTTTCTTCATCTTAAACAACAAACACTTCTTATTTAGAATTTTGTTAATTCTGGCGTTGAATTGTTTGAGAATGATTTACCATGTTTGCTTCTCTGGTTTCTTCTTAAAAACATAGAGGAAGGCAAGTTCGAATAATTCATTTTAGTTTTGTACCTCCAAATATTGTAAATCTACTTAAAGTACATAAAAGAAACAAAGAACATTAATTTTGTAGTATTTCATTACACTTATCGAAATTTTCTTTTTAAAATAATCATGAAAAATAAATCGTATTGGAAAAAAAGTGTACAATTGAAACAAACAATTTTTTTTACAAAAATATATTTTATTTTTTTAAATCTATGCAACACATAGATTCATATATCACGAACATTTCTAAAGCTTTAATTAAGTTTATACATTCCTTACATTAAAGATAAACCTTGATTTTGCGTTAACGTTTTCAGGGCAAACTTGTTCCAATGGACGAACTAGAGGCGAAGGAAACCCAGAGTCAAAGGATGACAGAATAGACACGTTCGGGACAGGTAGGTATTTTTTTTCTGATTCTACTACTGATGGTTGTACATGTACAGCTGTACTGTAAGAAGTATTTCATTAATATGTCCCAAGTCAAAAGTAGCTTCTTTCGACAGAAGTCTGTACACACAACGACATTCCCATAAATAATACAGATGACTGAATACAGTCAGAGTGATATTTCTCTTTAAATAAAGATCTAGATTATCTATTCATATAATAAGAATTCGTGTGGCATAGGATCCATGCCTTTAATACCCGAAACTCCCTAGAATGTCCTTGAAATAATTTTAAAAAATTACGCATTTGCGTTTCGAACTGATGAGTTTTTTTTTTTTTTTTTTTGGCTTTTTTTAAACACGTGTCATACATCTACAGTGAAAAGGTTCCTCTGTTTCAAAAAAGCTATCCTCTGTTCATTTTTAATTTCCAAGTTTCATCACTATAACATTTTATTTCCCTCAGGATTAGGAATCCTATTAGATGCTACAGACAATGAATACATGATCAACTGTTGTGGAGTTGTTTCGAGGTGGGAGTTTTACGTCAAAACAAACCCAGGAACAGTACAGCTACAGATATGGCGGCCAGAGGGGGGAGGGCAGTTTAAACTGATGGGGGAGAACAGTTACACAGTGGCAGGTATGTAATCTGTCTTGAATAGTACCAGTATGTTTAATTGAAATCCATCAAGATTTGACCCCTTTACATGTATCTTTTCAATACCTCTTTTTCAATAATTGAATTTTACGAGAATAATATCAGGTTTGAGAACATACCCATGTCATACCGGAATTGATTAATATTTTTCGTTTTTCTAGGAACTCTTTCAAATACCACAAAATATTTTCAGAATTTTTGTAGAATTTTGCATGTTTTTATCAATTAATTTGAATTGCTTGGTGACGTCATACTTACAGACAACATTATAGAAAACATGTCCACGTTTTATCAATGAAACAATTGGATCTTTGTTCAGAATGACAAACTCGGATTATCATCTTCAGTCTTAATGAATATATTCAGTTTTTCATTTTACTAAAAGAAAATGTATTGCAGGGGTGACCTTGATGATGTTATTATAGCATCGTACATGTATATAAGCTACAATATCCTTTATCCAGTTGTCAAGATTCATATCTCAACAAATTTGAAAGGAATTTATAGTACCGCCAAAACTGTTCTGCTTTACAGTTGGAGACGAAGACGACGAATTTCTGTACACGGTTCCAACAAACGAGAGGATTTCGGTACAAAACGGGGACTACATTGGATTGTAAGTGCCTAGCTTGATCACAAGATTTTTTAATATTGTAGAAGTTATTTTTTTTTGTTAATCAGACAGTTTAGCTCAGACAATGAGGACACGGCTGATGTGACCGGTCAGCAAGGGATGCTCACTCCTCCATGGTACCCAACCCCATCTCTCTGGATGTTTAGAGGTCCATTTTTGCTCAGCTCCTGATTTACATTGTTTAATGGATTTTTGAGCTTAAATATTGTTTGTTATTTCCAGAAATTTTATTGTAAAACGTGCATAATGTTAATGGTGATATTATGACTTTCATTTTTGCGTAATGTATAAATTTTTCATCTTGTGCCTTTCCTCACTTGTTAAGTTACACGGCTGGACAGCCCATGATCTCTCACAAGGTTGAAGGAGATGGTTCTGATGGATATACCTACTCTACAACCATAGGCGCCCAGACTGTGGGCACCTCATACAACTGGGGATCTCAAACTGCCGATACCAGAAAGGAATACGCTATCAATGTTCAGCTGCATCCTGGCAAGTGTTTCATATCAACAATGCTTATATGTCAAATTCGAAATTGAACAAACTGTTTTAAATTTATTATGAATGTTATTCAAATGATCATAGCTCTTAAAAGATTAGATAAATAAAAAAATATGAATGTTCTGTCTTCAGTTTATTCATAATTCCTGAAGAAGTCCGTACTTTAGAATGATTTTTGATGGGGTATTATATATTTTCGACAACAAACGTGCAGAGTATTTGATCCATACAGAATAATCTTTAGAAACCAAATTTATAGTGAAGACGAGAAATGCTAATATATAAATATTGCATGTAGTTTAGTATAACATTGAAAATTTTCACCCCAAGAAAACCACTGTCAACCGAGGGACAGCCGATGTTAACAATGGTTTTCTTGGGGTGAAAATTTTCAATGTTACACTCAACTACATGCAACATTTATTATATTATACTGAATGTTTTATACAAATACATATAACAGTGAACCGTGCGCGCATAAATTCTGCGCAGTCGCTATTTTTTGGAATATCACCCGTCGTCAAGCACTGTTGACTGTTGCTACGCTGGAGGGCGTGGCTTTATTATTCAGCGGGTAATAGTGTTTTTAATAAATGTTTCTCGATCAATCAGAGTCAAATAATTTACACAAAAGTATAATATTAGGAAAAATATGATCACTATCCTCATGCAAAGAAAAAAAAATGATGAAGCAATCTTTCAAACGAACTAAAGGTGGTTATTTCTTGAGAACAGTCTATATATGATACTGAAAATGGTACTGACAACTGAACTTGAAAATAATAAATGAATATAACATTAAAATTATACCGAAGAAAGTAACATAACAGTGCTGTCAAAACTGTACAAAATAGGAAAATTTCAAGAACTGCTATCAATTTTATCTATAAAATAATTCACGTTTCTATCCTTGCTTTAAGGTAATTCACCATCGCTCTCTAATCTGGACGCCACTGTTACTTTTCCGGATAATACTGTCGCCAACACTCTGATGTTTACAGTGACCTGGAGTGACAGCGACCCTCTTGATATCCTAACTGCTGTCATGACAACAACAACAACATCCTTCTCATTTGATACCGCAAATGGTAATGTCTCTTTCATTAAGATTCATTTATGTAAATGTAAGAGAAACAGTTGAACATAAGACAATGAAGGATGAAGTACCCTTATTTTCAGCTTTGTATCCACATAAATTCTTAACAATTATATTTCACAAAGAACCAGTTATTGTGGTTTATTTAAGTAGTTTTTAAGAAAGGAGTAAAGATTTTAATTGTTAAATTTTAAATATATATTTATTGAAATTCTTTTGACATAATTATTAAGACGATTAAATTTTTGTATCGTAGGAGAGGTGAAAAATACAGGAGCACTGCCGAATGGAAACAATCGACTGTCATTCAGAGTAACTGACGACTGTGGAAGATCAGACACAGGGACCCTGACAATATCCGTCTCAAACAGTGTATGGACATATATGTATTTATATTATATATCAACGATCATCTAGAAAACATGTAAAAGCATGCATTAAACAGTGAATGACTATTGAGAGCTTTCGAAAGCCTTAATGTATTTGAATTCCTTTATGTACTCTTTTAAGCAATGATTGCCAAAACTGTCAAAAAGCAGGCTTGGGAAGCAGTCTCAGAAAATCCCCCCTGGGCTGCTTTTTGCCGAGTTGATTATTTCATTGCAATATGCTAGTAACAAACAGTAATGCTGGGTTCTACAGGTACCTGTGATAACCAACTTGCCGGCTACAGCGGACATTACAGAAGATCATGCCAGCGAGCAGCTTCTATACACCCTTACCGTCACCGACGCCTCTCTTGCAGACACCATAACTTGTAGTATCGCCAATTCTAATCCCACCACAACCAATTTCTTCTCCAGGATAGTTTCTGGTTCCAGTAAGAATTAAATTTTGCTTGTTCAAGCAATTAGGATTCTGTAAAACGTTACATTAAGCAACTCAGAAACATTTTTTAAAGTTATATTTTATATAATAAACAAATCTATCATTTTACAGCAAACTATGGTATTTATATAAAGGCCCAACCGTCGCTCTCATATGACACAGCTCGTCAGTATGTACTGACCATTTCGTGTACGGACACAAAAGACACAGCTCAGGGGACATTTACTGTGTACGTCACGAGGAACAACCCGCCGGTGTTTACCAACCTTCAAGGTATGATGCCAGTATTTCGTTGCCACGTAGAATTAAAAATGAACATTATAAATATAAATTAAGGCAACATGCTCTGTAGTTTAGTTATCTCCCATGAGATGAAGAATGTTTAGTTTGATTGCAATCTTTCCTTTTACTAAATATAATATCAACTGGGTAATACTATTAACCAAAAGAGTGTCTAATGTAATCAAATGTTTGAATAATTGTAAATTACCTTTTTCAGCCACGAAAACTATAGCCTCATCCACTACTACTACTGGTTCTGTTATATACACGGTGTCGTCAACAGATTCCGATTCAAACCAGCTTTATTATAACATGACGTGTTCTCCCACGGGTTGTCCATTCACAATTCATAACTGTAAGCTATATGATAGAGAGCAAATGAACAAAAAAAGAAAATCACTCAAAGTTCTATATTTTACACTGATTTGGAGAAGTGAGAATTTGTAACATTAAAACCTCCATCTTTTTTAAATATCAATTTCAGAGTAGAAAGAATAGGTTAATAGATATCTGCAATGTTTTTCATTTCTCTAATTTGAAAGAAACTATGAGGATTAAAGAAAATAAAAACTGCATAAGTCTCTAAAGATAACACTTGCTAAAATATTTTCTTCATTCACACAATGCTATATCTATTAAGTAATAGATTTTTACCCCTTAGTTTTAAAAATTATTCAAGCGAAAAATTCAAGAAATTTAGATTTATAAGAACTTTTTAGGTTAGGTTTTTTACAATATTTATTTGGGTGGAGTCAGATAAAACTACTTTAAATGACCTTCATACATTCAACCAAATGCCCTCTATAAATATTTTAAAGAAACAAATGAAATCAATGTGTATATACCGAAATTTATCATAGAGTGTATTAAAGAGGGTATGTGGCGGGCAACATTCAGTATTCTTCTTATTTTACAGCAGGAGAAATTCTGGCTACCTCGGATTTATCGCAGCATACTGTGCCAGGCTATGATTTATACGTGTACGTTAGTGATGGGAAAACTCTTGTAGGACCAAGAACACTCACTGTTATAATTACTGGTAAGGCATTATTACTGACCCATTCTTCGTAATATGATTGGCGAAATATCACTATGTTTAAGTGTTAAGAAACTGTTATTGATTTTCCTATTGATTTTGACCAAAATTTCAGCGTTAATGTTTATGAAAAAGTGCATATAAATAAACCTTTTCATTGCCGTTGACTGCTTTTCATTTCTAGTTAAGAATATATGTTGATATTTATAATCCCTTCACTGTTACTGTAATTAACAGGTATAAACTCGGCCCCCGTGATAGTTAACTTACCCCTGGCGGCGCCCATTACTGTGCAGGAGAACTCCGCTCTCTCTATGTCCGTATTCCAAGTCTCCGTGTCTGACGTGAACTCGGCTGACACCCATACCTACGCTGCCTCTTACAACCCTAGTCTGGGATCCACACTTTTATCACTCAACACGGCTAGTACGTATGTCTATAAACAACCTGGAATTCTTCTTCAAGGCTTGAAAGTTTAGTCACTGTAAAGTTACTATAACCATGATTTTTGCAACACAAACATGAAGATCACATCGTAGTGTATATTTCTATATACTGTTATCTTCTTACAATATGCATCTTGGGTCGGTGGTACTTATTACTTTTATTGACTTTTGCAGCTGGCCTTATATCCACCTCATCCACACAAAGCATTAACTATGAGTCTGTGTCTACCACCGCCACGACTTACGTCATCATTATCACCGCCACCGACGGACAAGCTACCGCCACAGGCACGCTCAGTGTCGTTATCACTGATCAAAACGAGGCGCCCGTGTTCGGAAAAGATTCTTACGCCATTTCTGGCAACGAAGGATCGGTAACTTACTACATCTCAACAGTTATTTAATAATTTCAAGCACTGTATCATTTAGAACAACTGCCGACTCTTTTATTCATTTTTGCAAAACTACCTAAAAACTAAATTGCATTGATTGTACGTATCAACTAAACAAAAGTCTTTACAGAATGCAAGAGTTTGCAAAAATTTTACCTTTCTTCGCCGACAAGGGATGGTAACTCTCTTATGTCCTCACATCTAAAGAAAAAACATCCTTGGCTACCAAAAATTTCGCTACTCTAGCTTTTGAGAATCTATAGTGTAGTTTTTTCATGTCAATTTTCCTTTAAAATTGTTAAAATACAATTAACTTTTTACAGTTTTAAATAAAAAGTGTTCTTTGTAGGCTGGGGCAACTGTGGGAAATCCTTCATTTGATGTCACTGATCCTGACGCTGGTGAAACTTTGTCCTACTCAATTGATTGTCCAACGTTTGTTATGAATCCAAGCACAGGAAGTGTAACGTTTAGGTAAAACAACTTGATTCCGAAGTATTCATAGAAGAATTTTTGATTTAATGTGTTTTAAATAATTTTCCTAACTTACTTATCGCAGCCATGATTACGATTTGGATACAACTGGTACAGCCTCCACTGTCACGTGCACTGTGACTGTCACAGACGGAGATCTGTCAGACACAGCATCATTGGTTGTTACCATCAATGACGTCAACGATAACACGCCCACTTTCGGAAGCTCCACCTACACCTTTTACGCTCAGCCTAGTACAGGCGTTGGAACAGTTCTTGGATCTATAGCAGCCACAGATGGTGATGTGGGATCATTCGGTTTGTTATCACTATTCTTAGGGTTCTACTTAAAATTGCCGAAGCTTAAGGCAAAGCACATTGTCATTTTGCCTCGGATCTTACAAATGTAGCATTTCTGCGATTACTTTGTGTTCCCTGTATATGAGTTATTTAGGTTTTTTTTCTAAAAATATCGTTATCTTGAAACCTCAAAAGATAGTTTTAATACTCATGCATGAGACTAACAAGACTTTTTTCCTCACATTAAAGTATGTACTTTTTATATTTGGAACGACATCGTTCAGAAATCGCTGTTTCAATAATAATGGTTGTTGTTTTACCAGGCACTGTGTCTTACACAATAGACCAGACAAGTTTAGGATACGAGTACTTCGGTGTACAAAGTAACGGGGACTTTTACGTGAAGAATGGCCTGACTTCCTTTTCCTCTGGAACAACCGTCACAATAACGGCTACTGCACAGGACTCGGGGGGACTTCAAGGCATGTGTCAGGCATTCTAATATCTTTATCATTTTTCCTGCAAATACTAGTCTATTAAAGCTATAAAAAATACATTATCTTATTAAAGTGCAGCAATGAGGGTTAGAATCAGAAATCACAAGTGATGCAGGATCATCTAAATTCAGAATAAAATTATAAGTATATTTCTTGCAAAGGAGAAATCTCAATTGATCTCTAATTAACGAACTAAATTCTTTGTAAGTGTGGTGTGTTTTATTTACTTTTCTGGTTATTTTATTTGACAGACACGGCCCCTGTGACTATTGTTATTCCTGAATCCACCACTGCTGCACCTACAACCACCACTGACCGTCACGTGACGTTCCTAGAGGACTCTCGGAATATAGCCTGGGTGACAGTAGCGAGTGTTCTACTGGCCGGTCTGGTTATATTCTGGGGCTATCTGTTTGCTCGGTTTGGTAGCTTTCCTTGTAAGAATGGTTCCTACAAACCAAACGCTAAGTAAGTAACTGTAATTAGATGATATATGATAATTTTCTTCAGGGGTAAATTTTTTATGTAGTATATATAATAAGACTCTCAAGTTTTGTAGCATTTATGCTTCCACCTTTTGGGCTTTGCTTAAGAATCATTTTCTGCGAGAAATGTAACAAAAAAAGTAATGATTTAGTGTTTTAAGAATGATGTTGAAGGGTTTCAAATTTCAGAAAATGTTTAAAAACATCTTATAATCATCACTCCAATGTTATTTAAATTTTCTTCACTTGTCAAAAAATGATTTGATTTATTACACGCAACTGATTTATCTATCATAAGTTATTCTGTGAACAACTGATATTTATTGTCAAATATTATATCAAAAATTAATTAATAATTTACAAACCAATTAATAATCATTCAAAAACCCTCTTATAAAAGTGTCTGAAAATTTTTTTAATAGTTTTTTTTTGTGACTAACAATTGTCAAGGTGCTTGTGTCCTTATGAATCCCCCCTCCCACCCACAGACTTCCACCCTTGAGCTTGAATGACCTTTATAAAACAATTCATTTAATCACTTATACATGTATCAAAAAAAAATATAACAAAATTGATATATGATGAATAGATTGGTATTTTGTACAATTTAAAGAAATATCTTTTCTAGGGATGTCAAAATTGTCAATAATTGATGTTCGAATATTCGATAGGAGTGTTAGAATATATTCGAATATTCGATAAAATAAATACATCTTGCATTATTAAATAAATATCTTCACTCTCCTTTCAAGCAATATAGGTTTTATGGAATTATTTGGGACAAACACTCATCATAGAGTTTGGTAAATGTGCAATTATATATATTTTATAATTATCGAATATATGAAGAATATACATCCAAAATATAATGATTTCTTTTTAAAATTAAAAGATTCTTTAACATGTTCCATATTCATTGATCGCTTTACTAAAGTCTAAACTGATAACTCCCACAAATTCAAACCAAGCAGAGTAATTATCTAATGGAGAAAAATTAAAAGCAATAACTTTTTGCTAGTTAATTTCCTGATAATAATTTTAATGATATTTACATAACAATGGATCCATCTGTTTACTGTAAAACTGTGTCCTTACAACAATACAAGTTGACTGTAAGTACTGGACACTATTTGAACACTCATAAATGATCAAATAAATAAATTACTTTAATAGGTACACTCTTCACACCTTTAAGGTAATCCAAGAGTACTGTCTTTTAATTTTTTAAAACTTTATTCAATTTCTAATAAAACTTGCCAGTTTTTTTTCTCTTTTAAATTCTTGTACACTTAAAAAACGAATATTCGAATCATGAATTTATATTCGAATATCAACTCATCGAATGAATATTCGAATATTCGTTGGCATATCTAATTTTTTCTCGTAATTTTTATCTGTGGATAACTTGAAAAAATTGTGTTAATCATACTTTGTACAGAAAAGTTCAACAAGTCTCGTGGTTGCATTTAAGCGATAAGGGGGTTCCCGTGTAGTGGCTTCAAATTTCTTTTTTATTTCAGAAAAATAAGTCGGTGGCCTCCCTTTGACCACAACGAAAATGTCAGAATATCAAAAAGTAAGTTATAATCATGATAATATATATCTCGTGTGCTTCCTTCAAATCTTCATGGGATTTAATAATTCTGAGAAAATGGGATAGATTTTTTATTGAATGAATATTGATATACATGTATTGTAATCGGTATTGTGTGTTAAATATTTAAATGTTAAGTGTTCACTAAGCATGGCAATAAACTGACTGAATTAAGATCTTAAATGAAAAATTTTCATTCTTTACTCAAGGAAGGTATTCTCAGTTTATGACAATCGTTTAAACAATAAGAAAAAGACTTACATGTACTGAATAAAATTTAAGTGTAACATTCGAAAGGCTTTTAAACAAATTATTTCCAATGTTAATATTTTCATTTCCTAATTTTTTTTTATTCATAACAGAAAAACCTACCAAACACAGCTGGAAGAATGCATCATGGGATACGAATTTCAAGTAAATGGATTTTTTGTCAAATTTCTTCTATGGTTCAGAATCCCTGCTACAGAAAATAGATTTCATAAAATTGAAAAATGCTAAACACTTGAAATGATATGCTTGAATATATGAAAATGAAAATAATAATCAGTAAACAAGCTCGAAGTTCATTCAAACAATACAAGTTGGAAGCTGTGCAATTATATAGACAAATAATAACATCACATGTGGGATCAGGTGCCATGGAGGAGTGAGCATCCTCTGTCACACCCGATATGAAAAAACGTTGTTAAGCATCTGACTTAATGATGAATTGAATTTACTAAGAGCGGGGCACAATTGATACCAGTGGGAATTCCTTTTAACAAGATTAATTTTAAACAGCAGCAGCAATAAAAATTTAAAATCTGAGAGTTACATATATCTAAAACTGCTTTAGATGAACGAAATAAGTGATTATCTGTCCAATTTTTGAAATTAACCAAAAAAATAGTCTTAAATATGTATACAATTTTCTATTGCAGGTATGGGCATGACATAGCACAACATGTTTAATTCCAAATATACGGGAGACTGGTACATTCATTCAATGTCCAATGACAGCATCCCAACCTACCCAATTAGAACTTTGAAGAGACTCAGAAAAGGAACTTCGTATTTTACCAACATCACCATTATAAAAAACATGTTTGCAACTCATGTCTATTCAATTCACTTCGACGCAGTGAAATTCATGAAGAATCTTAGTTATGCCTTCATCTTATTTGTCATATGTCAAATGACTAATATTTGTATGTAACATGTATAAGTAGCATGTGTGAATAAAAAGAGAGACTAGGCATAAGTTTTCGTATTTCACCCAAGCCGATTACTTTCTGTATTTTGAAAAAGGATTATTCGGTATTCGTCTTGAAATGTGCCTGAATGTAGAAAGCAAACATCACTCATTTTCAAAACTACTGGTGAAATTCTGTAAACTTTGTCTTCATTCATCATTAGCTAGAAGATTTTTAAGTTCGTGCTTTCTTCCAAAGGGAAGACTTTCTATGGCTCATCAAAAATACAATAGAATCTCAAGGAATACTGAAACAATATTAAGACAAACATTAAAGCTGCGTTTTTGTATTGTAAATGTAAATATTGTTTTGCTTAATTTAAATGTAGATTCTAATGAGGTCACATATTGAAGCTTTTCAAAATTTTTCTTTCTTAAAGTTCAGTGTTATAAATAAACGATAAAACATGAACAAGTATTTACTTTTATGAACCATCATATCATCAAAAGTATGGACAGAAGAATATAAACAGACGATTAAGGCGTAAACAAAATGTCAATGTATGATGGATATTTCATTGCCTTTGGTACTCAGGAGTTCATATTTATGATATTGATAATTAACAGCATTCACTTCGTAATGCCTTATAGTTGATGCTTTGTTTAGTCACGAATAGCAGCATCTGTATGTTACAAATTAAGTCATCACCGAACTTTTTTTTAGAATTGATGTTTATTATCATTTTAGTGGTTGTTTTGTTTTATTAGGATATAAGGAACATTTTTGCCAGAAGAAGAATCGTTTTTTTTAATTATTTGAAATTAAATGTAAATCACTGTCTTCACTGATTTAAATTCTATCCTTTATTTCTTGTCGATTAATCTGGGTGTTGATGCGTTCTAAGTTCCTTTATACTAATGTCAAAGTTTCTTAGCCTTGAAAATGGCATAACCGAAATTAATTTTGTATTAACGTATACTTATTGACATGCGTGTTTCATTCATAGAGTCAATGTGATAAATGCTTTGGGTTTAAATTTCACGTTTATGTTCGTACCATGGACTCAATTTCTTTACATAAAACCATCGTATCTGTTTCATTCATTCATTAATTCCTGTATTTGAGTTAGGTTGAAATTGTGTCACTGGAAATATTTTTTTTTTTTTTATGTCAAATCCTTTATCAATTAAAGACTTAAAATCTTAATAACAAGGTAGCATACCTGGGTTTGAATTACTCCCACTGCAATTATTCTTCTCAGGAACATCTCTGTTAATAAAACTAATATAACCCCACTGAGATAAAGGATAATTGGGACCGAAAACTCAACATAATACTAAAAGAAAATTGAACTTGTTACACTAAACAGTCACAACAGAGTATATTCAAGGTTATAGAATTGAATGGAACATTGTTACGTTGCAAAGAAACAGCTTTTTAAATGGAAAACGGTGTTATTCAAAAATGTTTCGCATGCAAAATTAAAAAAAAACAGTTTATGGTACATGTATCTACTAACATTCATTGAGTTGACTCATAACACCTTCATGCGTTTCTAAATGTTGTAAGCTTTTTTAACGCCTTGCAAGTCTTAAAAGTAAAAAAAGAGTTTAGAGAGAGAAAAACTATCTCTAAACTTTTATTAATTTTAAGACTTGCATGCGTTGTTTACCTATTTAATTGTAAGAAATTAATAATTTCTATACTAAATAAAAATCTGTTATAACAAAATCCTTTTTTTTTTTTTAAAAAAAATTTGAAGGATATACGAGGGTTGTCTCAAATTTTCGTAGACTGAGCTCATATCTTTTAAAGAATTTGATGTATCTACAATTTTTGTTTTGGGGGGGGGATAACTCGTGTTCTAGGCAGATAAATTAGGAAGTTTTATTATGTTTACTTGAATACAATTCAAGAAATAAGATTTGAAGTGATATCGTTCTGCATGGTCAAAAAAGACAAATCTCAACAGTTCACAGTTTTGGAGAAAATATTCCAATTAAATTATATATTGTATATATCATATTGATCAAATTACAATGTATTTAGTCAGTCAAACGATTAAACATGTAGATATAAATGTGAAATGTCTTAATTAAATTACTTTGATATAATTAAACATCAAATGCAGATAAAGGTATGAAATAATATTTTTTTAATGAAATTTAACATAATACAGTACCATGCAGTTTCTGCAACTTAAGGGTACGTATACTGCGCCACCTTCCTACACAAGACAATGAAGAGTTTCATTAAAATAGAGTTTATTTTTAAGTACCTCCATATTTGTCCATTAATTTACTGTTGGTTATATCTTTGTACAAAGTTCTATTAATACATCACGTCGCGTTCCTACAAAATAACGCTTGTCTACGAAATTTTGGGACAACACTCGTAGATCTATGGTTTAAAGTAACATTTTATCATAAATCTTAGTAAAAGTCGAATTTATGAGAAAAAAATTAATAACTGACAAAGTTATTGGCCAATGATAAGTAATAAGCCTTTAATTAATGAGACTTTTGAAAGCTTTTTTAGTAGGCACTTTTTTTATTAAAAGAATTACATACATACACAAAAAACAAATAAGGTATCTAACATAAAATTTCCCAACGTGAGGGGAAACTTTTAAAATGTGTACCCAGAGAAGCTAAAAAACATAAATATGCAGACTTCAAAGCAACAAAGATTTTCATGAACTGTTACGTCATACTTTAGATATGCTGTCATAAAAATGATGCAAATTCAACAATACATTGATTTTCTTAGAAAATAGTATGTTGAATTAAGGTAGATAATTTGAATTCAAAATATCGAGCGCAAGTCCTAATATAAAGATTCATCTCTTGACGAAATATAGAAAATGCTAATATCAATAAAATTATGTAAAAAGTTCTTTGAAAACAAATTTAGATGAAATGTGTTTTTTCTCCTTCATAAAATGTTTTAAGATGACAAAAAATTGCTAATATCTTTCTCAAAGAATAATACTTTTTTATATTCATTCAAATTTGATTTATACAATGTAGAGAATTGTAAACACTTTAAGAGATTTCTCAATGTTTCCTTATACATGAACCCAATTTACAACTCTTAAATTATTTCAAAGCAATCAACATAATAAACAATATAATATATGTTAACATGTTTCTATTAATAAAACACATTTAGATGATATAATTATTTAAATACACACAATTCAATAAAATTTATAAATAATTGTATTTTATACTTTATACATTAATTAATATAATCTACAAACGACTTCTTAAGTGCAATACAATTACAATACAATGACTTTGATAAATCTTGTATATAAGACTTTATTCATGTTATTATTGATTTATCAATGCACTACGAATCATGACGTAAAAAATCTTAAAAACTTGAATGTCCCGCCTTTTTCAGGCCTCTTCGTTCTGTGTAAGTTTGTTTGAGTGACAAGCGACTTCATGAAGTTGTGTCTTACTGTTTCAGCGCAAATCAGTCCTATGTCTTTCCAGAAATATCATGATTGAACTACTAGTAAGAAAGATACTGATTGTTTATATTTTGGTCAGTGCCTGCATAAATTATATATCAGGTAAGACGGTTCTTTATAATGCTTAAAGTAATGTGTGTGTTTTTTTATTTGCATCCGAAACGATCGCTTCATATAGCTAATGTCAAAATAGCTCTTTTACTTTTATTCCCATTGATCGTGAAGCATATATGCGAGGATTCTTTTGACATGGAAATCAAGTTTTCGGACTTACCTAGATAACCGAGCCGTCTAGCAAGTTCTTGTTGCACTGTTAGAAGATGGATTCCACAGGTTGCGTGTTCAACCCCATGCTCATTCAAATAAGAAAGAGAATTGATAACAACCTTAAAAGAATTACAATAATGGCAAAAAGTATCTATGATTTGTGTTTAAAACTATTAAACATTTATTCAAACCAAAGTGAAAATTTTCTAAACATCCATCAACGAATTATAACAAAATCATATAAATCTTTTTGTTGTTTTTGCGATTTGGACCTGTGGTTTGGTACCTTGAGATGAAACTATTGTTTGCATTAAAAGAAAGAGACAAAAAAGGAGAAATTTTCACTCAAATTCAGATGGCACCACTTGCCGGTGGATGTCTGGAAATTTAGTTTTGTACTAAGCACTTGGGGGTCTTAAAGCAAATTTTTTTGATGATCTTTTTCGTTTCAGTGCCTACTGTGATATGGGACCGCGGTGTTACAACGCACTTTGAAAAAATCTCTCAAAGTGCATTAATTTTGGACCAAGTAAACGCAATTTGAAAAAAAATATTTTTATCAAAGTGCGTTGATATCAGCCATAATAACCCACTTTAAAAAAATCCACGGCTAGGCCAATATTCTTGCAAATTTGAATAAGATAAAATAGTATGCGAACCTTAAAGGATATAACTTTTTCGGTGAAAATGTCACTTCAAGATATGTTATGACCTTTAGGGGTACGAAAAATGCGACAAAATGGGGTCCAAATTTATATGCTCAATGAAAAAATATAAGCATAAAATGATGGTGTACTTATTGAATAAGTGTGTAGTAGTATTAAAAAAATGGTTATTTCTGCGCAAGATAATGACCTTTTGTTATTACAGTTATCTAAGTGATTCGTATTTTAAAAGATGTATGCAAAAATTATTCATACATCGTATATTTTCCTGATTTTGTAAAGTTGTTTTGGTCAGAATGGCAATTATTGCTAAGAACCCCCGAACCTCTCTATATAAATATATAAATAATCTATGAAAAAATAGGATCTGCGTTATTTCTTTTCAGGAAAGCTTTTTTGTAGATATCTTTAATTTTTAAAATAATTTTACGTAATGTTGAATTTAATAGAGAAAGTATGGATACAAATATTTAGGTAGGAAAGAAAGAAAAATAGACAGAGGAACCTTCTACCTGTGTTCTCTTTTTCGATGAGGGTTGATCAATTCCTCAGTTTTTCGAAAGAAATGTGAGAGTATAATACTGCCTTTCACTAAAATCCAAGTCCGGAATTTTTGGTTTATACACGTTTTTTTTCAAAGTGCGTTGAGTGTCTACATGGTAAACAAAAAATGTTGATATACACTTTTATAATAATCCACTTTGAATTTTTTTTTTCAAAGTGCGTTGATTTTGTCTCAAATTTGACGCACTTTGAATTTCTTTGTGAATTAATTTTTATCAAGGATACTTTTTTTTCCAAATTTACTTAAATAATTAAATTTCTATGACTTAAACTTATCAATGAATCGACTTCTTGAAGATAATTAAAATTAAAAAACAAACTTTTTTAAATAAACAAAAATACACATTTAACCTTTGTTTCTTAGAAGCCGGTTACAGATTTTGTAACCAATTGAATCTAAAGTGTCCCGACAGAGTAATCTTCTATACAATTACCAACACAATTATACAAGTATAATTACTTATGTAATAAAAAAACTTCTGACATTTTTTCCATCA